ATTTGTCGTTTGCAAGCATTGGGGAAAGGAAGGATAAATTTTTACTGTATTTTTTAGCCTAAGTAGTGCAAAAATAGGGCTAACTCGTTAATATTTAAAGTACTACAATTGGATCTTCCGGAAGTATGTTACCTATTTTGTTGAAAGGTTGGTGCTACGCCGTGTTCTAGGCCTGTCGGTAATCTGACTCCAGAAGGTATTGGATGAGGTAAAAGATTATTGGCAGCAATACCATTTGGCAAAGGATTATCAACAATATTCACCCGGTTTAATGGTGTGTAGGTCGGTGGCACTGGTTGGAAGTATGTCGGCATTGGTGGCGATACTCGTGGCGGTGGTGGCGGTGGCGGTGGCGGTGAAGGTGGTGATGGTAGTTGCGGGTGTAAACCCTAAGAATGAACCATGTAGACATAAAGCTCTCTGTTACGTCTTCCTACCCCCTCCTCCTCCCCTCCCCCCCCCCAAGAAAAAAACAAAAAAGGCCACGAAGAGGACGTCTTATTGAAGAAGCTATAATATTGAGGGGAAATATTTTGTTAAACAACCTGATCAAGTGGTGTTGGTGGTTGTATGCCATTTAGGAGTGTTTGATGTGGAATAAAACCAGAATTTTGCGGTACTATAGGAAGCCTGAAATTTAACAACAGGTCAAATTTCTTTTACCTCTTTCTTTTTTCTGTATTTTGACCCATCAAACGTATTATCAGTTCAAATTTGGCAACTTTTAATTGTTTCAGATGTTTTAATGTTTTGTATAGGGAAAAGGAAAAAGGAAGTTAAAATAGTTTATTTGAACCGTGTTTGAAGGAAGGCTTGTCGTTGATTAAGGTAAGCCAAACAGGCAGCAGGAATCGATGGACATTCTTGAACTGGAGGACATCTGTCACCTGGCCCAAGTGTAAAGGTTTGTACGAATGAAAGTTGTAGAAATGCCAGCACAGCAAACAGTCGCTGCAGCATTCCTAGATTAGGCATATTAAAAGTTACACCTAATTTCACTGTACTTTTTTCTTTTGATTTTACACAATGAAACATTGTAAAAGAATATTCAAAATCTGCTGTGTTTGAGAAACTTTAAAGATTAGAAGTAGGTAGTTGTTTTGCGTGCGTATATGTGCGTTTTTGAAGATGTGTTGATTTGAGTATTTGTTCTGTGATGATTCGCATCATTGACTGAGTTTATCGTATTTACTTCATACACGCATTTCAAGATTAAAAGTCTTTAACAGAAGGCTACAAGAAAAATGTTGGGGACTGAAGAAAGGTATGGTTAATCTGTAAAGGTTTAAAAAAAACATACAGTTGCTCGCTGGCAATTTTCATTCAGTTAATATGGTCAAAACTTTTCAGTGTAAAGTACTTAATTTTATCCTATCATTGAAACTACAGTTAACTGAAAGGACTGTTTTTTGCTCAACAAACGTTCCCTGTATCTGAAAATGTTTTTTTTTTGTTGCTCAAGCACTGCCAACTGGAAGTTTAGTTTTTGAGTGTAAGCAGTATTTTTAGGTAGAAATGTTAAAATTAGCTTTTACAGGTCATTCTTTTTTCTTTCCGGAGTTTTCTTTACAGCTAACTTTTATTAGAAACCACACATATGTTTTTTGTCATAAACTCAAGGTAAAAGCAGGCATTTGGAATAATGACGTCAACAGGAAAAATGTCCTTTTGTTGACAGTCAATTCAACCAATTAGATGTACTGTTAAAAATTTTAAAGGAAGAGAAAACCGTTTTAGATATGACAAAAGATTTATTTTAATAAAAAAATTTATTTTCTTTATAAGATTTGATAAACATTGAAGAAAAGAGACGAAAAAAAATAAGTTGGAAGGTAAGAAAACATCTTGAAATCATTGATTGGAAAGAAATTTTTAAGCAAAAAAAACTGTATTAATACTTACTGATTACTTTCGATGTTCCGTTTAGTTCGATGGATCAGTTGTAAGCCGGTAGCACAGAGGTGGAAGCGACAAAGTGTTTGGTTTTCACCGATTATTCGCAAAAAAAAGAAAAAAAAGAACCGATCTGAAGAATTCAACAACTTTTTATATGGCAGATGAGCGCAGGGGGGTTTACAGTGTTCTTAAAGGCAACACTTGGAAGTGAGCAGGTTTTTTTATATGTTTGGCTTTATTGCTTAGGATTAATGTCAAAGTGCTGAACGAAACAGTCTCAAGTTGACAGGCTAATCTGTACGCAAATCTTCACGTCGTATTCAAAACAGCCCTCAATTACCAGAATTGTTGAGCCGTCGTCACTGATTGTTATGGTTTCTTTTTTTTTTT